CACAAAAACAACAGCTTTAATAAAGACATTTAAAAATAAATAAATTGCATAACACTATTAATGGAAATCTAACCCATCTACAGCCAAGAGTAGCCACCTATGTGGTTTTGATCTATTAGCTATGCCTGGTTTTTAACAGGGTTCATCTGACTTACTAGCCTCACTCCTCACAGAGCCCATTAGAAAAGGAGGCAAGGGAAATAGGGAATGGGAACTGAGAAGAGATGGATCTTTGAAGGTCTGACAGATGTGAAGGATAGGCAGAATAAACAAGATGTAGGGTACTGGGGATTGAGGAGGGCTCTTGAGTGATGAGGGGAGTGCTTAACAGAACTGAACTGCAGCAGAAGCATACTTTGGGATAAATTATAGCCAGCCCTCAACATCATGCTAATAATGATATTGTTTCACCTTTACATGGTACTTACTCCTGTTGTATGCTGGCAGTTCATTAGTTTACAGAGCTACCAACATATATTTTTCAAACTCGTTTGTTCATCTGTGATCCTGACTGCTACAAAATAAAGCAAAAGGTACTGAAGCAATGCTCACATTTTCAAATTGCTATAAACAGTCACAAGAATGGAAGTAATTTAAAACCACATGATAACAATAACATCTCCACTTTTAATATCTAAACTCTCTCTCTTTGATACACTTCTTATATGTTAGTGTTCATAATCAAACCCACATCCCTTAAAATTAAAATGAATGGAATTCTTATAACCAAATTTTCACTCAGATCTCTCTCAATAGCAGAACAAGGAATATGTGGGGATACAACCAATTCTACTAAACCTACTAACCCTTAAAGGTCCTCAATCCTGTAATCAGAAAGCTCCATTATTCTGCTAATGGAAATCAACATACTACCAGACCTTCCTGAAGGACCAAGATCAAAGGTTCTAACCAAAGCTAACACAGTTTTGTTTTTGAAAGATTGGTTTTATGTTCCCAAGTAGGGAAAATATGAGGAGATACAGGACAATTCATACATAGGGGTAGATAGTGATTTCATTTATACAAAAGTACCTCCATTCTAGTCCATAGAGTTAAATCAGATTTACATGGTTGTAACGGATAGAAGAATCTGCCACTTGTGTTTCTGTTCCTGTAGATTTATGCACAGTATATAGGCTATACATTGGGCCACTTATTTTTAGGCAAAAGATTGCTACCTGGATCATGGAGTTCTGACACGACATGGGACATTATCTCAGTTTAGACAACAATATCTAAACTCAGGCAGATTTTAGGATCCCCATTTTTGCCTATGAATCACACTAATCATTTTTTTTTTTCTGTGTTCTCAAATTATTCATCAGGCACTAATTTTAGCTAAGCAACTAGACAGACCACAAGGAAACCCATCACAAAAATCATTTATATAGTTTTAAAAGATACTATATTAGTAATGCTGTTTGTACACGTAAGTGATTTTGGGTTGCAACCATTACAAGTTTATACCAATTATTGTCAGCCATTTGGCATATTTCTCAGTTTAACATGTTTATGTAATGTGTCTAGGTTAAGCATCATTTCACTGTTCTTATGAAGTGCAATTTGGGCTTAATGAAAGAGAACATCTGACAAGAATGGCAGCAATGTGAAAAGTGGCAGTAGTGGGATGTTCACTGGACCATATATGCAAATACTTCACTCAGTGTTATCCCACTCTGGACCTAAAATGGCTGTTTTGCAGGATGCTGTTGCTTGGTGACCAAGAGTGCATCTCCTAGGCCACAGAGGGATGTGAACATTCAGAGACTGATTCGTTCCTGTTGCTCTTGAAGAAACTAAGCCAGCAAAATAGATTAAGCCTACACATATCTACATATATATTCTCCTTGCCTACATGTTTAAGTTGATATTTAAAGCAGTCCTAGGATTTCAAAATGCTCACCAAAGTAGTAATAGAAAAATAGAACAAAACCTAGCAAGTATCTCACTGTCCATGGAATATGAGAAGTGGACCAAGACTTAGCTACTATAAACCTGCAAGATACCCTTGCTTCAATTAAGTCTGTGTTGTATGTCTAGTCTGTTCCTGTGCAACCTCCCAGTTGCTATCAGTCTCTCCTTCTTTCATTAGAATCAAGTAGTTAATTAGCCCC